AAGCGTTTCAGAATTTCAATACCATTTCTTGGGGAAGATCTTCATAACTAGCCATCGATTATGTAGATAAACCCTCAATCTTAATCTTGAAGACAAGAACTGATCAACAATGGATTGTTTGATTCAAGAATGTAGATTGATTTATGATATTCACAACACTCTCTGCTTAAAAATTTCAAAAGCAAACCATCTAAACCTAATTTGGAATTTGGAAAGGAGTCTCTCGAGTGAAAACCCTAGAATATTGAAGAACAAGAACCGATCAACATTGGAGTTTGATTCACAAATGATGGATCGAAGAGATTCACAACACTCTCTGCTCTCAAGATTCAAGAGTGATTGATTGACAGAAAAACTGGAAATCGGAAACGAAACAAACGTTCGATTGCTCTTCAAGACCTAATTTGGAAGTTGGAAAGGAGTCTCTCAAGTGAAAACCCTAGAATTTTGAAGAACAAGAACTGATCAACATCAGAGTTTGATTCACAAACGTTTGATGGATCAAAGAGACTCACAACACTCTCTGCTCTCAAGATTCAAGAGCGATTGATTGAACCAAAACTCTAAATCGGAAACGAAACAAACACTCAAGCTCAGATTGCTCTACAGGACTCTCAATCTATGCTCTTAATACTCTCTCCCGCCCAAAGTAGTTTTATGTAGTTTTGAAAAGCAGGACCAGTTTTCAACTCAAAACTACACTGTTTCGGGTTGATCATTGGACAGGTGTCTCATTCATTAGTCCACGTCGTGGAGCATATATATCTAATACTAGTGAAAAGTGCACGTGACTAAAAATCATAATTAAAAAATAAAACGCAATTATAAAGTACTTTACTTAAATAAACAATTTGAAGTACTTTAATGGTACTTTGTTATATTTTTTGGCTGGGGTTTATTTCCATCTAAAAGTTGATATTTTGATTTGTTCATTTTTTGTATATATTGTACAGTTCAACTTCTTTTTAAAAAAAAATGATAAATAAGTGTGAGTTGCAAATAGTTTATTTATTTCTGTTGCACTTTGGATTTGTTAATCAAGGAAATTAATATTTACAAAATTAGTGATTTTCGTTAATTGAGAAAATATGGATGAATAAATTTGGGGTATTGAGAAATTTAGGATTTTTAAGTAAAATTAGTTACATATTACTAAAATAAGGTAACAAGAAGAAGGAACATAACATAGAATCCCTGGAACTAACCACCTTTCAAGAAAAAGACAATAATAGAACAAATCACTTTTAACGCACATCATAACCATCAACCTTAATTGAGATTTTTAGACTTTTTCCCACAAGCAGAAACTAGTAAACTACACAATTAAACATTTGCAACCCACCCTCTAAAATAATTAAAGACTTGCAACATCAAGTCACCATTAACAGCTACATATATTTATCAAAATGACCTTCACCTTGTTTAAATAAAAAATGAAACAGAAAAAAAAAAAAAAATGAACACATGACAACTTACTCTTTTCTGATACTACTCAACCCATTTAGCTTTCACCCTTTGCAAGAAGTAACCTATAGAAAAAAATAATAATTAAGCTGTGTGAGGGAACTTCTGAAAATTTTGGAATGCCGAACTAAATATTTACAAGCATTTTCAGTCACATCTTACCCAAAAAATAGAAGAATGGGAAAAAAAAAGTATTTGCATTCTTTAGCTTATATTACTTTATATCTAAAGAAACAAATAATTCAGAGAAACATAAACACTACTACTGATTATATGATTAACATAAACACTAATACTGAATATCATTTTTTTAGTTTGAGTCCCTGAATTACTGTTACGAACAATAACTTGTGAGTCTATTGTTAAATTGTGGACTACGGATTGAAAGAAATAATTCAGAGCAAACAAAACATTGTGAATCAAATGATGAACAAATACAACTTAAAAGCAATACCATTTTCTTGTTGTAAGCCTGGAGGTTTTTTTTATATTCAGTCTTTCTTTTCTCCTCCTTTGCTACGTATGGAGGTTTTTCCTGCATTTGGAACATTTATATAACAATAATATTGAATTAAAATGTAATTTTTATCCATAACTAGTAAATCTGGACCAGAAATTATAATTATTCTTATTTCCGATAAATTATTCACATCTTCTGACAATTTCCATTTATCTCCACCAGCTTTACCAACCTAATCATGGGAAATAATGCATGATTACAATAATTAGAAGGAAAAATAATTGATTCAAAATCAACAAAATTGAATTAAATCTGTACGTTTGAGAAAATAAAAACACATAGGAGACAGGTTTGTTGTTAGGATGCTTCTCTTTGAAACTCTACCTAAAAGCCTCCCTAAATTCATCAAAATGAAAGAAAATAATTATAAAAAACCATTAATAGATTATAAACTCTTGACTGATTGAATGAAAACAAAGATATCAGAAAATTTATAAGAAATTGAGCATACATGAAAACGAAGAAAGCACTCGCAGGCCTCTTCGGCTTGTTCGGGTCCTTCACAGCCTTTCCCCTCTTCGCCGGCTGGCCTTTTTGCTCGGTGCTCCTCTCCTTTTCACCGACAAGCTAACAAAAATATTCAGAAAAATACGAAATGCAATCAGCCTTCGTCTTCGATTCACAGTGGCAAATACTTAGATATATACACACAAACAGAAAATTCATATAATCATAGATATAAAACACTATAGTTTCAACAAATCATAAAAATAAAAAATAAAAAAACAAACAAAATGGGGCAGGCCGAGCCCGTGTGTGTATATATATCAACTGAATCAACACACCGACCACAAAATCGCCAACAATCTCCATCGAATCAACTTTCAAGTTCACCCAAATTACCTACTTTCTATTTTAACTATTTTTCATTTTCTTCACAAGCTTCGGATCCATCCATCTTTATATAAAGGTAGAGAGATAGAGAGAAGGAGAGGAAGAGAAGTGGAGAACTAACCTTGAACTCACTGGTGGAATCCAAGAACGGTGTTGGGAAGGATTGCCGCTTCTGTGTTGTTTTAGGTTTGCAGAAGTATGGTTGCGTGTTGTTTAGGTTTTGGTTTTTCACACAATGTCCAGTGCCTGAAAAATATGTGATGAAACTGTGCTTTGAAAGTAGACTTTTTAATTAAATGGATTTATTTTTTTGATGTAATTTAGTCATTTCTAAAAAATATATTATATTTTCAAGCTCTACTTCTTAATTTAATTGTGCCTGGAAAGTGGAGTCGAGCCTGGTTCATTTACTAAATTAACCAGCCCGAGTCAAAAGTTAATTTTTAAGTGCAAACAACATGTTATGTTACTGTTGTTTTTAAATGAATTATAATGATTGTCATGGAGTTGTCTAATTTTCATGTTTTTCAGATTGGGTATGTTTTTTACATTACACCAGGTGAAGTGTATTGTGTGTCCCACATTATTTCATTGTTGTTCATTTCCGGTTTCTCTTGTGAAGTTGTACTTCTTTATACTAGTGGCTTTCTTGCTGGTGAGGGTATGGTTAGATACTTTCACAATTAATACAGTTATATGAGTACCAACAAAATAATTAATTATTTGTTTTTATTATCATATTTTTTTCCCTCATCCACTGGCTAGTAGTGATTAGCCTTAACGCTTCTTTCCAAAACTCTAAGATGTTACAGGGAAAGTGAAGAAAAAAAAAACTTCAAACAAAATCCACTTTTTTTCATCTTGGTTCGGTTTCTTTATCATTTTCTAAATATTAATTACTCTATTTTTGTTTCTTTAATTTGTTTTTATTATCATTTTTTTTTTCTCATCATTGGCTAGTGATTAGCCTTAATACTACTTTTCAAAATTTTAGAGTTGTTATACGTAACGGTGAGTGCTTCGCGATCCGACTTAAAAGCTTAAGTTATTAGCCCAACTCATACATACTCGGTTGAACTCGCAACGTCTTCGTTACAGTCGGATCACCCTGCCTATCTTGGTGGCTCACCATGGCATTTCGCATTATACCGGATTAAATATTGGGTCTGATTCTGATACTAACTGTAACGAGTGAGTGTTTTGTAATCCGACCAAAAAATTTAAACTATTAGGTAGGACTAATTTCGAATCCATATATACCCATTTTATTTCACATCCGAATCCAAGGGACAAGTCTAGCATTATATTTCTTCAATTTTTTTTATTATCATATTTTTTTTCAAGCATTGATAGAGAAACTGAAACTTTCTACCAAAAAAGACACTGAACCTGTCACGTGAGATTCATTATGAGCAAAATAATTCATTTTCTTCTCTTCTCTTCTACTTTCTCTCCCCACTTTTCCTTTCTCTCTATCTCTTTGTTTTTCTCTCCTCTCCTGATGTGGACCATCTGGTTGTTCATTTGCTTCGTCAATTCTTTTTACCTTCCCTCTCTCTCAAAAATTGGTGATCATGCACAAGAATTTTCATTACAAGAGACATTTTCTCTCTTAAGTATGAAAATATATTTGAAAAGAAAACGAATTTGTTTATTTTGAAAAAAAAAAAAAAAAAACTAACCAACCGATGAATCGTCTTAAAGTTTCCCTTTGATTTACGTAGATACAAAATCCAAAGGAAAGAAACAACAGCAGCCAATTTTTTTTTTCCCTGGTTTTATATTTTTACCTTCAATTTTGTGAAATGAAAACATAATAAATATTTATTTTAAAAGAATTATATATAAAATATTTTTCGAAAGAGATATTTTGCACCCAAACAAACAAATAAATTTGAAGTTGGGTTTGAAAAGGAATCCCAGTAAAACTATAGTGTTGTTTCAGTAGGAAAATATTAATCCGAAAAAACAAGCCAAATTTCGTTTCAGGGAGACTGTAAATTTTTTAGTCAAATTCCAGGTAGACTACTGAGGTGAGTGTGTGTGTTTATATATATATATATATATATTAAGTAATAACTAGTTTCTTATCTAATTTTTTTTTTTTTTTTCAAAAAAATAAAAAATAAAAAATAAAATTTGAGCAGTGCGTCAAATTCTGGTCGTTAGGTTTTATCTAGCAAAAAGTTGAATCGAACTACCTTCGTCCCAAAATACATTACCGATAAATAAAATTAAATTGGGGCAGTTTCCTTTCCTTTTCCTGCTAGGTTTTTGCTATTACTACGTATATCTCTACCACTATATATATCATATTCATTCATCTCCCGCTTCGTACACAGAAATCTGAAAGAGAGCTTCGTACACAGAAATCTGAAAGAGAAAATTTGGGTTTTCCATTGTACAGGTTGTTGAAGATCGCGATCCAGGAAAATAATGGCATACAGTACAGATTTTGACGATGACCTAATCAGCAATCTCCCAGATGAGCTTCTATCTTCAATCATCACACTCCTTCCGGCGAAAGAAGCCGTAGCAACCACCGTCTTGTCTCGCCGGTGGAGCCACTTGTGGACGTCCCTCTCTCGCCTCGATTTCGACCATTTAATTGATCCATTCGAAAGCATTGAACACGTCGTCTCGTCTCAACAGGGTAATGTCACCGTCTTCCGGATTTGTCACTCTCCGGAAGACTGGCCGCGTTTGGCGAAATTGATCAATCACCTCAAAGTGGACAAAGCCATAGAAGAGCTCGGACTCACTTGGATAGATGATGGGTACGATCGGTGTCTTGACTCGTCTATTTTGCCGGCGAGTTTCTTCCGGTGTGAAACTCTCCGTGCCCTAGAACTCAGTAAGTACAAGCTCCGTGCCGACAACTTAACTATTGCGCCTGCTTTTCAAGGTTGTGTGAATCTCACAACTCTAAATCTCAACTCGATCCGATTAACCTCTGAAATTCTTTTCAGAATCACATCCAACTGTAAATTATTGGAGAATTTGAGCATATGTTCTTGTAGGGGATTAGATTATCTTAAATTTTTTTCGGACAAGCTGAAGTTTTTGAAACTCAGGAATTTACAGGCAAACGATGTGGATATATGTGGCAAGGGTATCACTGGACTAGTGTTTCATAATGTTTCTTGCTCCTCGAGAACTATTTTTATTCACTGCCCAAACCTCAAAGAATTTCGACTTTATTGTCAAAATCTCACATATTCTCTGGTTCTCCAAAGATGTTTTGGTCTCCTGGTACGTGTTGCTCCTCTGAATATACACATATATAATTTTTTTTGAAAGTTGAAGCTAAAACACACCCCAATATTAAACCCTTTAATGGGGTTTGGTTTTGAGAATATTATATACTTGTCATTTTCTTTTTTTCCCATGTTCTCATTAGAAGTAGTAGTATGAATATTATACTTATCAAGATTTTTCAATTTTTCTTCCTTTTTCTCATTAGAGAAGTATTACTGAACATGGAGGAGAAGCCTTTCTTTCTCTCCCGGATTTGCGCTTGTTATGCACTAAATTAGACTTGAACAACATGGAAGACGCCATTTTACTCTCTTTAATCTTCAGATCGAGTGTCCATCTACAAGAAATCGACATTATAAATCGGGTCAGTTGATCCAATGCCAAAACGTTACATGATAATTTTAGTTTACTGTATATTAGCATTATTTTCTTATATTAGGAATGACAGAGGCAAGTGTGACAATATTGCATGTAATTAAGTTCTGACATAAAGCAACAATTTTTATTTTTCTTAAAGTGAATTAAAGTACTACCATTTACAGTAAAAACAATGTTAAACATCAGGTTTTTTGGCCTCCATATTCATCAAATATTAATCAACATTTTAGTGTGTGTGTGTGTGTGTATTTTCTAATGTAGTATTCTAATTATTCATTTTTAAACTTTCTCAATCAGGCCAGATCAAATTCTAGAAACGTCCAACTTCCATATGACGAGTCTATGTTTTGGGAAAAAACAGAATTGTTCGATAGTATAACGCATCACCTCAGGGTAGTTTGGATAAGGGGTTTTGCAGGAAGAGAGAGAGAAATGAGGCTTGCTTCTCATCTCATCCAGAATGCTACTATGTTGGAGAAAATTGTGATACAATGCAACAATAATAATTGTTCGGGACATGGAGCACTCACCATGAGAATCTTGCAATTGCTGCCAAAGGCCTCCTTAAATGCTGCTGTAATCCTGAAACCGCCCTCCAAGTTTATAACCGAGGTTGGTGATGATTTTGATTATTGGGTTTCGACACGTCAATGATACTGTGTTGAACATCACTGTTAATTTCAAAAGTTATATTATTTTCATTATCATATGGATTATGGGGAAAGATACGTTAGTATGAAAACTGTACATGCCTAGTTGTTCTGCTATTTGCGAGGTCAATTTGAGATTTGTTTTTGCAAGAGAACTGAATATTTAGCAATATGTATGGGCTAATCTTTGTAATATTTCTGGCTCTCGTTGCTTGCATGCGGGAAGCATTGGAAGAAAATTGCAACTTGAATTTCATTAATGTATTTTGCACTTTCAACTTCTGTGACTGCACATTTGCTGTGGACTAGATATGCTGATTTATTATTATTATTATTATTCCATTGGATTTTGAAATTTTCTTTTTTAACTGGTTATAGTTTCCTGTTGTTCTTTTGGTAAAATATATGTCCGTTGTTGAATGTGTTTCCAAGTTGCTTGTTCTTTCTCTTTTTCCTTTTAAAGTCGTAATTCCAATAGCCTTCATAGGAAAAACACTAAGAAACACCTTAATAACTTTGAAATTATGAGGAAGTGAAAAACGTGATTTCATTATGCGTTTCAAGCCTGGGATAATGTCCGACAGAATATGGGTTATGTCCTGCATACATGAGAAATTCTCTTTCTGACTGACAAGGAGGGTTGGGAGCAAGGGTTTTATATTTGTTGACAAAATATGCTCTGAGAATCAGTAATTCATCAGCTGTTGATAAGTCTAAGTCATGTCCTCTCCTCTGTGTCAAGCCATATCTTTCTGATGATTGCAAACTGTCTTCCAAGTTTGTATTTGTTGATGAAGAATAAATATAGTTGGTATTAATTCCCGGGAATTACAAGTCTTTCAGCTTATCTAGGTCGACTCAGATCATCTTATGCGTATGGTGATTTTTTGAGATGGAAGCTATCAAAGCTTAAATTGTTAAGTGGAAAATAGAAGTGGAAAGTGGTACGTCAATGTTGTTTTTTGAAAATTTACAATTATAATGGTTATGCTCTCATCGTAGAAAGAATGTACTTTGTAGCAATTTTACTTAAGAAGGTATTTCTCTCGAAAGGTAAACACACTAACTTTAGGGGAACATATGTGTGTGTGTGTATATATATATATATATTTGGAAATGGTTTGGCTGGTTTAGTGGGAGTAAATCCTGCTTAAAAAGAGACCATCAATGTCGTTGATGAGGATTTTTTGTAATGTTGGTATGCTAATGGGGTTAAAAGTATTTGCATAAAACAGAGTAGATCTGAAGCAAATAGCAAGGGTTTTTTTTTTTAACAACAGGGGGCTATTTGCACAATTTGTATATGGTAAGGGTTTTTTTTGCACTTTACCCTTCAATGACCAATGATAACATTTTTATATATCCACCCATCTTTCTATTTATGTGTTCTTTAATTTCGATGGTTTGGTCCTTTTACTTTCTCTTTCTAATTTTACTTATAAATTTTGAAATACAGAAATGTTTAATTGAGTAAAACTAGCCAACTGTTATTATGAACTTGTTTTGCACTTTATCTAGAATTCACAATATATTCCTGTGGACCTCAAAGTTGTGGATGCAATTTCGAAGATAAGATATGGCATCAAAAAATGGAACGTAACTGTTATTAGTGGCTTGTTGATTGTCGTGGGGGGGAGGGGGTTTTAACTTACATTTTTTATAAAGTTTTATAGCATTTACGTGAAGAAGATGATCATGTTACTGATGATGACGACACAATGGTCTCAGTTATATAAATGATTGTCTGCAAGATATGGTGATGACGGCATAAAAATTAATTGTCGCACAATTTGGTGATGATGAATAGGCAGTTAATAAATTCTGTCAAAGAGGGGCTTCTCCTTCTTAATGAAATCTGCAGCACCCAATTTTATTAGTTTTACTTCAACTAGGGGACTTTTCATGCCCGATCTGCAGGGGTCTCCTCTCCTGTCTGGAGTTTAGGTATCCCTATTGTATATTACACTGTTGGAGCGTGCGCCGGGCCGGGCCGGGCCCGGGGGGTGTGTGTCGAGATGGATGGGATATTATCCCTAAGGAAAGAAACGGGTCTTCTCCATTTTTGTTTGGTTGAATGAAATGGATGATAGAAAAGTTTAATGGAATGATATTTTTTTTTTCTCTTTGGTTGGAAGGAATAGAATGAGAGTTTTTATATTATTTTTACCAATACACCTTCATTATATAGAATTATAGAATGTAGGTATTCATTTCAAAAATTTTGAAAAGGTTAATATTGTAAATTAAAAATTTATAGGTAATTATTCTTTTTTTTTTCTCCTCTCTTTCCTCAAAGTGGGCGGATAGAAAAACATACCCCCAAAAAAAAAACATAGCATTAGGGTTAGAGATTATTATATATTGAGAGTATGTTATAGTTTTTTGGGGAAGAAATATATAATGATATATATGTGTATATATATATATATAGAGAGAGAGAGAGAGAGAGGCTGGTTTACCGAAATTTGGAAAAAAATGGTTTGAGCACGTTGATCAGGAGAGAGACTGAAATAGATATTGGGGATTTTTGTGAAAATTGGATTTGGAGGTATTTGGGCATTAACAGTGAGGAGAAGCACATGCCTTGTGAAGGAGATAACATGGAGATGTGTTGTGGAGAAGATGAACAGTGACGATGTATATATATATATAATATGCATGTTTATACATAATGGCCTAAGTGAGTGAGTGGTTGTTGTAACAAATAGTGAAAAGGTGTTTGGGTAATAATCATCACATTAAGGGGCATTAGAGGCTTTTCATGCAAATAATTAAATTGTACATTGCTTGTCGCGTGACAGCCACATGATCCTTCGCCGGTAAGTTTTGACCGGAGGCTCTCCGAATGGTGTAATTTGCAACAAAAATGAATAATTAAGGGATTTGTTGCTAACTGACCAATAGGTCGTTTTCTTTTTTTCTTTTTCATTTTTTTTTCTTTTCATTTTACCCTTTTTTTATTATTTATTTTTTGGTTGGGGAACTGGGTTTATTTTATTTTATTTTTCTGGCAAACAACCATAGAGATTTAGGATGTTTCATAGAGAGATTTTGTATTTTGAGAAAAGGATTGCAGATACCTTTGGGTTTCCCCATACTTGCCATTTTCCAATAAATGGATCAACTTTGGGCAGTTGCATTCTTTTCCTTTTGGGTGTAGCAAAGGCGTATGCGCTACTCCTTTGCTGATCCGTTACCCACTCAATTGATATCATACCCATTGATCATCATGCTTCTTCTCGTGGCTTAACTTTTTGTAGATGTCGGTAGGACTTTCTCAGCTTCTTTAGTTTTTCCTAGTTTGTTGTCAAATTTCACTTTTGAAAGACTATTGTTTTGATCTCATGTCAGCTTCAGGTTATAAGTGTTGAGCCTAATGCTTGCTTTTCTGAACTAGTCTTCTTAACTGAAAGCTTGTGACATTCTCCACGTGGATTGATTCTGCAACTGAAAAAAAGGATCAATTTACCATTAGAAAAAGACGTTTAGTGACTTAATTTACGTTTATATATCCAAACATTCATCTAAGCTTCACTTTGTTTGAGTTGATCCTACCAGCTAAGCTGATATGCTTTGGAATAACCGAGACGTTATGTTATGAGAGTCATGGATGGCAAATTACGACACGACTATCAACATGACTCGAGATAAGCGGGTTTGAATTGATCTTAAATAAATTTGAATTATAAATGAATTGATACAATTAACCCCGTTTACTTAACCGTGTCGAATTAGGATTGAAGAATTCAACCCGTGTAACCTATTTATACCTTTTTAACTCAACATGTCTTAATCGTGAATATAACCAGTTCGCTTTATTGCCTGTTGGCTTATGGCTTCAACCATAAACCATAGGCCAAGATTTGAAACTAGTGAGAGAAAAAATATATATATATATTTATATATATATATGGACAATTAAGTAATTTCAACAATAACCTTGACTTACACCTGATGATTTTTCTTCTCATTTTGAATATTTAAATTAATTGTGACAAAAAATTTCTAGTATTTATTATTTGATTGAATATTAAATTTCTCGTTTTAATAAACAGGTCATTAAAACGGATTAACATGTTAACCCGTTTAATAAACAGGTCGGGTTTGAATTTAGTAAAATATCCTTACATCGACACGATAGAAATATAACTAACAAACATGAATTGTTACCCCTAGATGAGACCCACCACTTATCTCACATAATTCAATAACTACCCAATTCGATCCTAGAATATTACTTAAATCACTTGTTTGCACAGTTAAAACATATACTTGTGTGAGAAAAAGAAATTTTCAATTTCACTCCAATTTACAAATTTTATGATTAAAGTACATATATGTAAGGTCTAGCACTAGCAGTTTCGTGGCAACTAAAAAATTGTCAAAGTTGATTTGTGCTACACAAAACTATGCAATTTCAGTTGAAAATTAGCTTCATTAGACATCTAACAAAATGCAGAAGTATTATTTTTGTGTGAATCAAAACTAATTAGGTTCACGTAGCCAAGACCAGAACCTTGGTATGCAACTGTTTCAGAGAAGTACCACTGAACTTGCACTTGGGTGGTTCAGCACCCTCATAAAATTCTAAGCTGAAATGAATTGGCCGTTGAAATGGTCCTGTCATTACAGTTAGAATAGGAACAACTCTGCATCATGATGGCTACAAAGAGCTCTCCCCTTCTTTCCATGCCCCACCCTTGGCAGGTTATGTAAATTGGGAACTAATGGACCACCATCATAAAAGGGTCTCACAAGATATTGTTGATATATATAACCTGCAAAGGGTGGGGCATGGAAAGAAGGAGAGAGCTCTTTGTAGCCATCATGATGCAGAGTTGTTCCTATTCTAACTGTAATGGCAAATAGACCAACTAGCAGCTGAGCCACATGTTAACATTGGGGAGTTCTGGTCACTTCAAGCAAAGCCATCCATTGAAAGATCAGTCTTGCCAAAAACAGAACATATAATAGTACAGAGAAAGAATGTCTCTTCTACAAACTTTAACAGCACCAGTAGCAACAAGAATGTAAAGGAAAAAGATACAATTATCAAACACAACATATTCATTACCCCCATTGATATCAACTCTTAATAGTCCTATTTCTATTTGTTAACAACCTCCACCACAAAGTTTACTCAGAAAGAACAAAATAAAGAAAGAAGATTTGAAAAGGAAAGAAAAAGGAACACTTGTATATTAAGGTCAACTAGCTCACAAAAATTGGGGAAAGAATTCACGCTAACACTGATGGATGATTCATCTGCTTAAGTTGCAGCCCAATCCTTGCGGATGTCGAATTTGTAGTTGACCTCCAAGTAGCATTTGTAATCATCACATAGACACTGAAAATAAAGAAAAATGAAAATCAGAAGGGTAACATGAGCTACACAAAAAATGTATTTGACCATAAATTGTTTTGCCTTATTCTTAGTTCCATTGCTGATCAAGTTAAAGTTTTTATTGAATAATTCACATAGGAAGCTTTAAATATCATAAACTAAGTATACAGTTCACCATGGGCCATAACCCTTGCAGTGGTTGGTCGAACAACATTACATTTGCATCAGGAATAGTTGGGCCACGAGCTCAAGATAAAATGATCACACAGGAAGGTAGGTGACTCAATTTGACAGGTCTTCCACATCAAAAATTTTGCATCAGTGTGAGATTATAAAATGCAGTGGCACATTCAGAGGTCCAGAATTACAGGACACCTGAATTAGTCCAGATTTTATTAATTAAAAAATCAGGAAAAAGAAGATTATGGAAGAGGGTAGCTAATGGAAGTAAACTTAATAACTGGAAAGAACTTCAAAATCAGAATTTTCTTAATGATACCCACATGTCTCAAACTCGTGAGTTATAGGATGCCGGAATTAGTCCAAAGTTCATTAGTTGACCAGGACAAGAAAATCAAGGAGGAGGGTTGCTAATGGTGGTAAACACAACATCTTGATACTTATAAAATTTCATACTCAAATTTCTTAATGGTGATACGCATGCCAATGCATAATTTTAATGGAAAAATATATGCAAAAAAAAATAAAAATAGTACAGACAGTTGATTTTATTGGCCGGGGTGATAGATCTATGTTGATTTTGCAATCAAATTCAAGGAACAGTGAATTCTAGTAATACCTCCGTGGTTAAAATTTCAGGATCAGATATCATTAATTAGTATGTTTCCTACATCATGTTTTACAAATATAATTTCCTCAGTCATTAAACTAATATGCATGCATGAAACCTTTATTGATGATATAGACAATAAAGTGTAGTGAAAAGGGGAAGAAACCAAACCTTTCCTCTTGATGGCTTGGATTGGCTTTATTCTTCAACTTACCAAGAACTCTATGAAGATACTGCAAAATTCATCATTTAATAGTGTTAATTACCTCTTGATTGTTCATCCTTTTATATGATTGCATGAAGACATACACAAATTCATATCAAGAGGGAATTAAGAGAAAAAAAAACCATCAAAACCAACAAAAGTCATTGCTGATCAAGTTAAAGTTTTCAGTGAATAATTCACATAGGAAGCTTTAAATATCATAAACCTAGCAAAAGAAAGTCTATGACAAAAACCAAGTATACAGTTCACTGTGGGCCATAACCTTGCAGTGGTTGGTCGAACAACATTACATTTGTGTCAAGAATATTTGGGCCACGAGCTCAAGATAAAATGATCACACAGGAAGGTAGGTGACTCAATTTGACAGGTCTTCCACATCAAAAATTTTGCATCAGTGTGAGATTATAAAATGCAGTGGCACATTCAGAAGTCAAGAATTATAGGACACCTGAATTAGTCCAGATTTTATTAATTAAAAAACAGGAAAAAGAAGATTATGGAAGAGGGTAGCTAATGGAAGTAAACTTAATAACTGGAAAGAGCTTCAAAATCAGAAATTTCTTAATGATACCCGCATGTCTCAAACTCGTGAGTTATAGGATGCCGGAATTAGTCCAAAGTTCATTAGTTGATCAGGACAAGAAAATCAAGGAGGAGGGTTGCTAATGGTGGTAAACACAACATCTTGATACTTATAAAATTTCATACTCAAATTTCTTAATGGTGATACGCATGCCAATGCATAATTTTAATGAAAAATATATGTAAAAATAAATAAAAATAGTATACAGTTGATTTTATTGGCCAGGGTGATAGATCTATGTTGATTTTGCAATCAAATTCAAGGAACAGTGAATTCTAGTAATACCTCCGTGGTTAAAATTTCAGGATCAGATATCATTAATTAGTATGTTTCCTACATCATGTTTTACAAATATAATTTCCTCAGTCATTAAACTAATATGCATGCATGAAACCTTTATTTAAAGAACCATTTTGTGTGAAAGATGCATTATGTGGCTGTTTTTTTACCATTTCCTCACAGTTAGAAAGATATTGAATGGACTTCATTCAAGTCTCATTGTAAGCAGCTCCATAGAGTTGCTTTGAAATACAACCTCGTACAACACGAGAACTGCATTCCTGGCAGACAACACTTCTAGTTGACAATTTCTTTTTAATTTACAAAAATTGTTGAAAACAATATCCAAGGAAACACTATGAAAGTAGGGATATGCTAATTACAGCTAGTTTGTGTTCAGGAAAGTTGAGAGGTTACCCAATGATTTGCACTTTCCCTGCTTTAAAAAATTTGGATCTTCGCCGTAAAAAACTGGGCTCTCTACATAGCTATCCAAGTAGACTGAATTCTCGAATGACGAAGTTGCAATTGTGTTCTCATTGACATCTGGTGGAAGGTTAGGATCATACGAGATTATATCACCGTCAAATTTAACCATAAGAAGATGCCCAGTTTTTCTGAATCCTAACACTCTGCTAGGATGACATCCCAAATCAATTGAGTACAAGAAAGTCCAATTATCCGCCACTCCATACTCTTGCATATTCCATATTGCACATGATGTGCTATAAACAGAATCATGATTATAATGAAAAAGGGTGATACATTCCCCAGTCAGAGACATTGCAACTTTTTGACCGCTTTCTACACTACCTGGAAATAACACCAAAGACTTCTGAACACATATGGAATAGTAAAATCACATGTTCTTTGTTATATAAATTTGGGCCATGCCCGTGTGCCAATTCGTGGGCATACCCTTCCACTTCATCCCCATCCAAACCTTGGTCATTTTCTCCACCTGGGTTATTCCCTACATCTTCCTCCCCAACAAGTGGAACATATTTAAAAGCAATCCAATGGGAAGCTCCATGGGTGAATATAGATGATTGTGAATCAATATAATAGCCCCAATCACAGTCCTTGGTTCTCCACCTACCAGTACACAAATCAAATATCTCTATTTCTGGTCCGAATTCATTAACGTTATTATCCCAAGGGAAGACAACTCTCACTACCTTGAAGTCTTCAGACGAAGTACTGTATCCAAAGCCCAACGAAAATTTGTGAACATCGTCATATTGAATACTGGGTGGAGGGGGAAGGTGCATAGCCTTTTTAAGCGTCGGATTCCAAATTACCACCCTACCATCTCCCTCCAAATTGCCAGACAAATAATACAATCCCGCACAGGACCCAACAATATTCAAGATTCTATCAGGCTCAATTAATCCACTTTTATAAGATTCTTCACATACTGAAGTTTGCTTGAAAATCTCATCATTATCGTGAACAGAAATAACTTCTTTGTTGTGAGCCACAGAATAATACCTGAGGATAAGTTTGTTGTCACCCTTGTTGGCTATTGACATTGCCAAGCGCTGATACAAAAATTCACGATTCATTACTAGAGAGCTCCACGGTTTGCATACATGTCGGCTGATTAGAAGCTTCTTCAGGGACAGCCGTTTAAGAATTTCGTACATCAAATCTGGGGTGAGATCGTCAAACCGGCCCATTGATTCTTTAGATGAAACTGTCATCAAGAAAACCAAAAGAACAAATTGGAAACGTTCTCAGAACCAAAGAACCACCACGGATCAAGAAAACCCAAAGAACAAATTGGAAACGTTCTCAAAATGAACCCAAACCATCAGCCAGAGAACAACCACCGATCAAGAAAACCCAACGAACAAATTGGACAAGTTCCTCATAATGAACCCTGCGGCGTGAAAAACCCTAAAAAACTATCACCCAAAGAACAATGGACACCCAAATTGGAATTGAAATGTTCTTAAGAATGAACCCTAGTGCGTGAAAACCCCTAAAAGAACATCGTCATTCAAGAACGATTCAAAAATAGATTGATTTAGGGCTGCTCATGATCTTCAAAAAAAAAAAATGTAGAAACCCAGAAGCTTGGTCACCATCAAATTCAAACCATAAAGAGGAGAAGATGGGTTATGATGCGTTTTGGTTTTGTTGGAGAATATATATATATAGAGAGAGAGAGAGAAGTTGCCGGAAAGGTGAGTTTTGGGTATAGAAGAGGAGACTGAAAGTGTTAAGAGTGAGAAAGAGTAATTTGAAAAGAAAGAAAGAGAGACAGACAGAAGCGTGCCTCGAGGAGAGAGAACGTCCCTTCGGATAGAGAGAGAGGATAGCGAAATAGTGTGTGTGTGAGATTAAAAAATTAGGGGCAAACATGTCTTTTCCATTATTTAAATAAGAGTTTTGATTTTTATTTAAAATTAAGTTTAAAATACAAACACTAAAAAAAAATATTTTGAATTTTTTTTTTCAGGATGTAGAAAGATATTTACTTCAAAAAGAATTATATAAAAAATATTTTTCGAGTGATATTATTTTACACCGAAACGAGTCAAATTGCATTTCAGAAAGCCTGTATAATTTTTGTCCACTTCCCGGTAGACTGCTGAAGTATACACTATATATGTATATAGATATATATATACACACACACATATATATTAAGTAATATCTAGGCTTCTTATCCTATTATTATTTTTTTAACAATAAAATAAAATAAAGTTTGAGCAGTTTGTTGTATTTTCCTTTTTGGTGGGTAAATTTTTTGTAATATCCCTAATTTTAAAAAGGATATAAGTGAAATTTAATTAATGTATTTTATGTACTTATGTGGATATGTGTTTATGTTTAATTGATTAATTGTTTTATTGTGTATTTATTTGTATTTTTATTTGCTTAATTGTTTAAATGGTTTATTAGTTTTCTTAAATGTGTTAATTGGATTAAATTGGTGATTTAATTATAATTATAGATTAGGGTTTTATTTTCTTTTAAGTAGACACATTGTGGGACATAGCCGACTTAGTTGGAGAATGAATATTAAGTTGTTTCGTGTTCCTAATAATTAGAATTAGGTTATAGTTCTTTGGTTATATATATATAACATAATGTCGGCTAAGGGTTTTAAAATATACACAAACCCTATTCACGTATCAGAGAAATAGAGAGAGAATTGTGAGAAAAACAGAGGGAGTTTCAGTTAGGGTTTCGGCTGTGGATTAAAGGTCGGACCTAGGAAAAGGGAAGGTTGAGCAGTAGGAGGTTGACAGTAAGCGGACGTCGTCGGAAAGCTTAGGAAGACGGCGACGAGGTTTTGATTCCAAAACCACACAGGTAAGTTCTATTATGTCTCTCTCCCCTTGACATGTGTTCTGTGCATGCCTAGATGATCTCTAGGGTTTTAATCGGACTTTAAATAAATCGTGCATGCTTAGTATATGTTAATTTAATTGCCTGTATGTGTTTAATGTGATCTGGAATAGTTCCTGCAATTTTGGGTTTTATTGTTTGATATTAAAACTTAATGAATTGGTAATTGTTTTAATTGTTCTTTTTAATGCAAACTAGTTGGAATGAATAACTAGGGTGACACTGGATGCAATTTAGACTCTTAAGGTCAATATTAAGGTAGAAGAGAAGAGTTGGAAGTGACCGGAGACGAAACAGAAGGTCAGAAACGAATCAGGGCTCTCAGAGAGGGAGAGAGCCGGCTCTCTCAAATGCAGAGCCGGCTTTAGGGGTTTAGAGCCGGCTCTCACCCCTCTAGAGCTGGCTCCATGCGGCTCCAAGGGGCATGGAGCCGGCTCTATGCTTGGTTGGAGCCTGCTCCAAAGGTTTGAGAACAGGCTCTCCTATATACTTGAAAATTTGACTTTTTCTAGGCATCGTTTGGACGAGTTTGGTATTCTGGGTTGTTTAGGGGACTGTACTGAGGTTTTAAATGTATTTCTATGAAATTCTAAAACCTCATATTACATAATTTACACCGTTAAGCTAATGGGATGAACAGTATAAAAGTAACCAACTTTGCATGCTGTTAACAGATCGAAAGGACTAAATTATGTATCTTTGTTTTAACAATTTAATGGACTGTAGCATGGACTCTAAACATGCTATTAGGCTGTATTAGAACCCACACAGCAGAATTAATATTTTTATGCTAATGGATGTAACAGTAGGGAAGTTTAAACAATCTTGCACGCTGTTAACGGATAGGAAGGATTAAATTGTTTAATTTTGTTTTAGCAATTTAACGGACTGTAGTATGATTTATAAATCTTGTTTTGGATGCATAATAGGGTCATTTAATTATCAGACTTGATTTATGCTTACTCTGGATTCTAATTGCTGAGATATTAAACTCTGTTCTGCAATTATATGGATTAAATGCTTTGGATTTTAATTGCTGAACTATTAAATAACGTTCTAGCAATTACAGAAATGTTATTGTGGATTTTAGTTGATGAACTGTTTAAATTCTGTTTTTATCAACTATATGGATTATGTGGATTTTATTTGATGTACTGTTTATAATGTTGAATCATTATAGATCATATGCATTATATGCACCGGTATGGGACAGTGGTATATTAGGGATGAATTAGATCAAAACGCTAATTCCTACTTATTCATACATACAGAATGAATTAACTAAAACAGTTAAATCTTACGTGAATTTATGTCTTGTCAACTAAAAACAGTTGAACGACATATTGGATGGTTGTTGTTGTTGTTTTTTTTTTTTTTTTTTTTTTTTTTTTTTTTTTTTTTTTTATTTTTTATTCTACATTAGGAAGGTTAGGGATTTAATTAAAACATTTAAATCCTAATTATATGTTGTGTCTGGACGACGAACAGTTGACCGACACAACATTGTTTTTGGATGGAATTTATATATATATATAAGGTTAGGGATTTAATTAAAACATTTAAATCATAATTATATGTCGTGTCTGGACGACGAATAGTTGACCGACACAACATTGTATTTGGATGGAATTTACATATATAATTATGGTACCGCGAGATAAGCTTGAGTCTCAGAGTCGAAGGTTAGGGAGTGTATATGCAGTGGATGCGTAGCTGGTTATGATAAATTGAGGTGTACCCTTGTTAGGCTTAGATACTCGTGTCCACTCAGGTGCGTTTTGCATGTTGCTTTCTATTCAGGTTGAGACCTTCTATATAGTCCAGTGAATGTCCCTTAGTGTGGATATATATATGCATAGACTGGATAGATGTGGTTGAGATATCTAGGATCTATCTACGTATCGGGTCTTTGTTTGGATTGTAGTTAGGATAGAACTTGTTCGAAGGTCTGACCCACTATTATTTTTCAGGTAGCGGATGGTTTCAGGTCTTAAAGCTTGTTCGTGTTGAGCAGAGATGGTTACTCATTCTTCTGACGACGTAGGAGTTTTTTTCATGGTTTAGCATTGGATTTTCTTCAGTTGTTCATTTTTCAGTGTTGGATTTTTATTAGGGGTCCACCAGATGGTTTCCCGAGTTGTATTAGAAATGGAGAAGTTGGATGTATCAGAATAGTTTATTATCTATAAAATTTTATTTTGAGGATTAAGTTTTGGTTTATCGTTTTAGTCTATTTTCAGCATATTACTTATTCTTGTTATTCATATTATATTCTGTGTTCGATTATTGCCATTTGTTTTGATATCCTCGGGTGTTTGGGCGTGGGCCTGGCTAACCCGCATCCAGAGATCCGTGGGTATCACATTTTCTCTCGGATAAAGTTGAATTGTAATAGTTTTTTGGGTTAACCTCTGAGGTTTGTCATATTGACAGTCATAAGTTAAGCTTTTTTTGAACAATGACACCTCTTAAGTTTAAAAAAATTAACAAATACACCCCAATGGTCACTTGCCACGTCTGACATGTAATTAATTGACATCGTTGCCCTTTGACTTATTAATTGACCAATTTAAATAACGAAATTACCTTTCTACCCTTGTATAATATTTATAAAAATAAAAAATAAAAAATCCAATTTCAAACTAATTTTATCCTTCCTCCCAATACCATTTATTACTCCATCACCACTGTGAAGCTCTCTCACCCAAAATCACCACTTCAATTGATCAAAAATCGAAATCTTCAACACAAACACACATATATCTTAAATCTTCAACACAAACACACATATAATGGTGGCCACTGCCGCCGGTGCCGACTCCACCACCATGAAGCCCGCTCACCCAAAATCACCACTTCACCTGTTTAAAACCCGAATCCTCAACACAAACACACATATAAATACCATCACTTTAAAACAGCAAAATCTTCAACATATATATATACCTCCAAGATCAAAACGGCAGCAGCGGCAGTGGCGCCGCCGACTCCACTACATCCTTTGCCCCAAAGCTCGAGAAGGATCCGAAGAAGCGCATGGTCATCACAGGGATGTGCCCCATCTCCCTCTTCGGTAATAACGTCGATGCCGCAGCCAGATTCGAGGGTTCAACGGCGACAGCTTTCTTGGTGGTGATGGCGGCAACAACAGTAAGGGATTTAGGGGCAAAGAGGTCTAGGGATTTAGTGGTAGGTTCGAGGGAGAAGCAGTGGGTTTGGTGGTTGCTTTATTAGGGTTAGGGTTTGAGAGGCCATGGTTGTTATTTGTTGCCTCTGTTTTTTCTATTCTGGTGGATCAGTGGCTATGGTGGTGGTAGTGGTGAACCGGCGGCTATGGTGGTGGTGTCTATGTTCAGAATATACATATACATGTATAACACACACACATATATATATATATATATATATATATATATATTTTATATATCAATTATATATATATATATGTATTTTATATATCAATTACTGTTAGAGAGAGAAAATAGAGAAAGATAGAGTTCAGTTAGGTTTCTGATGGAGAAGGTGAGAAGTTAGGGAGGGAGAGTGCCAAGGGTAAAAACATTATTTTGGATTTATAATATTTAACAATTTAAATTAATAAAATATTGAAGGGCAATCTTGACTTTTCACATATTTTAAGGATGGTTTGGATTCCATTTCTAGCAAGGGTGTCATTGTTAAAAAAAAAAAACCTAACTAATATATGGTTGTTAATATGACAAACTTCAGGGATGTCATTATAATTATCCCTAATTTCTTTTTCTAATTAGATTTTTGCTAATAGATATAAATAAAATTAAAATTTGGGCAGTTTCAGTATTTTGTACTCCCCTATGTAATCATGTTCATTCTTCTACCGCTTTGTACACAGAAATCCGAAAGAGAAAATTTGGGTTGTTGAAGATCGCGATCCGGGAAAATAATGGCATACAGTACAGATTTTGACGATGACCTAATCAGCAATCTCCCAGATGAGCTTCTATCTTCAATCATCTCACTCCTTCCGGCGAAAGAAGCCGTAGCAACCACTGTCTTGTCTCGCCGGTGGAGCCACCTGTGGACGTCCCTTTCTCGCCTTGATTTCGACCCTGATGTTAAGGATGCGGACCTAGTTGATTTAATTGATCCATTCGAAAGCATTGAACACGTCGTCTCGTCTCAACAGGGTAATGTCACCTTCTTCCGGATTTGTCACTCTCCGGACGACTGGCCGCGTTTGCCGAAATTGATCAATCACCTCAAAGTGGACAAAGCCATAGAAGAGCTCGGACTCACTTGGATAGATGATGGGTACGATCGGTGTCTTGACTCGTCTATTTTGCCAGCGAGTTTCTTCCGGTGTGAACCTCTCCGTGCCCTAGAACTCAGTAAGTACAAACTCCGTTCCGACAACATCACTATTGCGGCTGCTTTTCAAGGTTGTGTGAATCTTACAACTCTAAAACTCAACTCGATCCGATTAACCTCTGAAATTCTTTTCATAATCATATCCAACTGTAAATTATTGGAGAATTTGAGCATAGTTATTGTAGGGGATTCGATTAACTTAAAATTTTTTCGGACAAGTTGAAGTTTTTGGAACTCCGGAATTTACAGGCAAACGATGTGGTTATATGTGGCAAGGGTATCACTGTACTAGTGTTTCATAATGTTACATGCTCCTCGAGAACTATTTTTATTCACTGCCCAAACCTTAGAGAATTTCGACTTTATTGTCAAAATCTCACATATTCTCTTGTTCTCCAAAGATGTTTTGGTCTCCTGGTACGTGTTTCTCCTCTGAATATACACACATATATAATTTTTTTTGAAAGTTGAAGCTAACACACACCCCAATATTAAACCCTTTAATAGGGTTTCGTTTTGAGAATATTATATACTCATCATTTTCCCTTTTTCCCATTTTCCGATTAGAAGTAGTAGTATGAATATTATACTGATCAAGATTTTTCAATTTTTCTTATATTTTCTCATTAGAGAAGTATTACTGAACATGGAGAAGCCTTTCTTTCTCTCCCGGATTTGTGCTTGTTATGCACTAAATTAGACTTGAACAACATGGAAGACGCCATTTTACTCTCTTTAATCTTCAGATCGAGTGTCCATCTACAAGACATCGACATTATAAATCGGGTAAGTTGATCCAATGCCAAAACGTTACATGATAATTTTAGTTTACTGTATATTAGCATTATTTTCTTATATATAGGAATGACAGAGGCTAGTGTGACAATATTGCATGTAATTAAGTTCTGACATAAAGCAACAATTTTTATTTTTCTTAAAGTGAATTAAAGTACTACCATTTACAGTAAAAACAATGTTAAACATCAGGTTTTTTGGCCTCCATATTCATCAAATATTAATCAACATTTTAGTGTGTGTGTGTGTGTGTGTGTATTTTCTAATGTAGTATTCTAATTATTCATTTTTAAACTTTCTCAATCAGGCCAGATCAAATTCTAGAAACGTCCAACTTCCATATGACGAGTCTATGTTTTGGGAAAAAACAGAATTGTTCGATAGTATAAAGCATCACCTCAGGGTAGTTTGGATAAGGGGTTTTGCAGGAAGAGAGAGAGAAATGAGGCTTGCTTCTCATCTCATCCAGAATGCTACTATGTTGGAGAAAATTGTGATACAATTGTTCGGGACAAGAAGCACTGACCATGAGGATCTTGCAATATCTGCCAAAGGCCTCCTTAAATGCTGCTGTAATCCTGAAACCGCCTTCCATGTTTATAACCGAGGTTGGTGATGATTTTGATTATTGGGTTTCGACACGTCAATGATACTGTGTTGAACATCATTTTTAATTTCAAAATTTATTTTATCATCATTATCATATGGATTATGGGGAAAGATACGTTAGTATGAAAAGTGTACATGCCTAGTTGTTCTGCTATTTGGGAGAAGTTCAATTTGAGATTTTTTTTTGCAAGAGAACGGAATATTTAGCAATATGTATGGGCTAATCTTTGTAATATTTCTAACTCTCGTTACTTGCATGCTGGAAGCAATGTAAGAAAATTGCAACTTGAATTTCATTAATGAATTTTGCACTTGAAACTTTTGTGACTGCACATTTGCTGTGGACTAGAATATGTGAAATGCACATGCTGAGATATGCTGATTTCCTTTATGTTTTTTCCCAATGGATTTTGAAATTTTCTTTTTAACTGGATATAAAAACATTGCTGCTTACATCCCGAGAGGATAGGAAATCAACCAACTAGAATAGAAAATAAGGTTAAGATGTTTATTTTATTTTTTTGTCCCTAGCAAATAAGTCCTATAATATTACTGGGGAGACTTGAACCTTCTACCTTTCAAAGTGAATGGAGGAGAGATACCACTAAACCACGGGTCTTCTCTTCTCTCATGTTAAGATTCGATTAACACAAACAATAAAATAACAAGCCTCTGGCATCCTGATAGAGAAGCTGCTAGAAATAGAATACTCTGAAATAATAGTTATTTTGCTGGATGAGATCAAGCTTCTCATGTAATTAGTACTATAACATTGTAATAAACATTCACCTCCTAATAAATTATAGGAATCCAGCTCTTCAAGAGAAAAAATTTGTCTCACCAACCTTTTTCTTTGAATCCCCAATGCAAAAGAAAACCTATCTATAGACTTTCAGGTTTAAAACATATTAATATAATAATCAGTAAAAGTGGAATATTGTCTATGCAAGCTATATAACAGATATAAGATATTTACCAAAAAAAACTAGATTGCAAAATTTTGAACCTTAATGAGAGATAAGGGAAGCTGTACAAAGGGCTTTAATATTACACCTTCAATGAAGCATTTTTTGAAGTCTTGAAGAGGAACGTAAACTTGAAGTATTTGCAGAACAAAAGATTGTGAAAACTAGGGGTTTTATTCTCCAACTACTGAAATTATAAATTAGGGTTCTTGGCAAATGTGTGTGTCATGTGTGTGTGTGTGAGAGAGAGAGAGAGAGAGGGGGGGTGGATGGGGTGGGGGCTGGTCGGCAATGGGAAGAACTGCAGAAGCCAGATGCGTTCAATTAGGAGGGCGACTGGCCAAGGCGAATCTCAGAGACAGAGAGAGAGACGGTGTATGGGGTTGGGGTTGGTCAGCGATGGTTCAAACTGCATAAGCCAGATCGTGACCAGTGATAGGAGGGCAACCGGGCATCTCAGAGACCATGAGAGAGAGGAACAGAGGAAGGTTGAGGTCAAGGTGTGAGGTTTGATGTGTGAAAGGTGATTACTCACTTGCAAGAAAAAAAATTGTGGGGGGCAATAGTGGGGGTTTTCTATAATTTCAGTGAGGGCAATTTAAAAATTTTATAGGTACATAATACCAAAAAAATATATATATATATATTAGTGGGGGCAATTTCCTCCTCTGAGCCCTGAGCAGGTTCATGCCTGCTTGCCTACAACCATATCAGGAGGGAGCTATGTGTCGGGCAGACCACAAGCTTGTCCATCAGAGTTGGTCTCTCATTTCTTCATCAATTTGTGTGGTATTAGACACTGGAATTGAAAATGTGTGTTCATTTAGTGTAGCTATCTCCATCCATCTTTGTCAATGCCCCTTTAAGGCATCAACAGGCACATCATTTTTTGTCAATACCAGCCTGCAATTTGGCTTCTAGAGAAGTCACTCAGGCCCCAAAACTGATGAGGTCTACAAAATTCAGGAAGGAAAGCCATTTTTAATGATCTTCGAAATTTTTTAACTCCTTGTATGTAAAACATGACTTCATTTTGCCAGAAATATTGAAGGACTTTGTATCAGTGAATTCACTATATTTGAAGCTGAGTTTTTTTTATATATCTTCATTGAAGTGAGTTGTAAATTTTATATATGCATCTACCTATCCAAGCAATTATCTTTAACTGGTTCAAGCTTTGGTCATTACCAATCAAGATAACATGGCAAGAGAAGTCATACTTCTCGTGAGTTGGATCAACTTGAAAGTGCAAACTCAGTTCCGACGACTCCAACATTGTTGCTGCTTTTCAAGGTTGTGTGAATCTGAAAACCCTAAAACTCAACTCGATCCAATTAACCTCTGAAATTCTTTTTGGAATCATATCCAACTGTGAATTATTGGAGAATTTGAGCATATGTTATTGTGAGGGATTAGATTATCTTAAGATTATTCACAAGTTTAAGTTTTTGGAACTCCAGAAATTACAGCCAATGAAGGTGGATATATGTGGCAAGGGTGTCACTGTACTAGTGTTTCATAGTGTTAGATGCTACACCAGCAGTATTTATATTAACTGCCCAAACCTTAAAGTATTTCGAGCTTATTGCAAATGTCTCACATATTCTCCGATTCTCCAAAGATGTTTTGGTCTCCTGGTACGTTTCTCCTCTGAACACACACACACACCATATATATAAATTTCCATAATATTGTCTATTATAGGGTTTGGTTTTAAGATTATTAACATACTTTATCATTTTCTTTTTTCCCAATTTCTCATTAGCATGAATATTATTATATTATACTACCAACAGGCCTGTGGCCTAGCGGTACAAGGCTCCTAATTCCCAAAGGGAGGTCAGGGGTTCATGGAGGCAATGTGTGTGAGTCCCAACTAGGAAAAAAAAAAAAAAAAAAAAAAAAAAGAATATTATTGTACTGATGAAACTTTTTTTTTTCATTCTCTGATTAGAGAAGTGGAGAAGACTCTCTTTCTCTCTCGGATTTGCACTTGTTATATACTTAAATTAGACTTGAACAACCTGGAAGACACTATCTTACTCTCTTTCATCTTCAGGTCGTGTGCCCATCTACAAAAAATGGACATTATAAATTGGGTGAGTTGATCCAATGCCAAAACGTTACAGGATAATTTTACTTCACTGTATTTTAGCATTCTTTTCTTATATATAGGAATGACAAAGGCAAGTGCGACAATATTAGTTGCATGTAATCGAATTCTGACATAAAGCAGTAATTTTTATTTTTCGCAGTAATTTTTATTTTTCTTCAAGTGAATTAAAGCACTATTATTCAATGTAAAACAATGTTAAATATCAGGTTTGCCTCCATATTCATCAAATATTAATAGTAATATATATATATTTTTTTCCTCACTAATGTAGTATTCTCATTATCCTTTTTTAAAATTTCTCAATCAAACCAAGCTCTAGCGAAGGCAAACGTCCATATTGTGAGTCTTAAGTTTTGGGAAAAAACAGAATTGGCCTATAGTATAACTCATCACCTCAGGGAGGTGCACATAATGGGTTTTTCAGGATAGAAGAGAGAAATGAGGCTTGCTTGTCATCTTATCACTAATGCTACTATGTTGGAGAAACTTGTGATACGATGCAACAATAATTGTTCGGGACAATAATTGTTCGGGACGAGGAGCAGTCACAGCGAGGATCTTGCAATTGCTGCCAAAGGCCTCCTTAAATGCTGCTGTAATCCTGAAACCGCACATACTTGCAATAAATGCTGCCAAGTTTATGAACGAGGTTGGTGGTGATTTTGATCATTGGGTTTGTCACGGCAATGATACCGTGTTGAACTTCGCTTTTAATTTCAAATTTTATATTATTTATGGGGAAAGATATGTTAGTATGAAAACTATATTTATTTTGCTATTTGGGAGAAGTTCAATTTGAGGTTTTTTTTGCAAGAGAGCATATTTAGCTATATTTATGGGCTAATCTTTGTAATATTTATAGCTCTCGTTACTTGCATTCTGGAAGCATTGGAAGAAAATTGCAAATTGAATTTTATTAAATGTATTTTGCACTTTCAACTTCTGTGACTGCAGATTTGCTGTGGATGTGCAATGCACATACTGAGATATGTTGATTTTTTTTTTTTTTCCAATGAAATTTGAAATTTTCTTGTTAAATGGATATAAAAAAAAACTCTGCTGCTTTATCCGAAGAAGATAGGAAATCAACCAAATCAGTGGTCCAGTGCATGATGTCCAGAAGATTAGAAAGAGAAGCATATTTGATGACTTTCTATAGGTTGTAATGTTAGTCCAATGGGGGTTAAATATGTAATCAGTTCATTATGTTAAGATTCAAATGTTATAAAAACTTTTGCCATTACAACATTCCCTGTTTATGCTGATGAATTGACTCTGTTGCAGAAAGAAAATTAGCTACGCCAGAGCTCAAAAATTACATGAGTATGACTTTAGAAAGCACAAGAGTAGCAAGATTTTTTTAAGTAATAAACACATCTAGCTCCACTGTTCCCATTCAGTTTATTACTATTAAGATCAAGAACTTCCAGATTCACAGGTTGAGAGGAAGTGGGCCGTGCAATAAATTAGAAGAAAGGTCAAGATGGAAGAACTGTGTAAAATTTTCTTTACCCAAAGGAAGAAGGTACCTAACCTCTTAAAAGTGTTGTAAGAAAGGTCAGATATAACAACTACCAAAATGAGTGAGTGAAAATGTTGGATTTATTGAATTGAACAAACACGGAGTGGTTATTAGTTTTGATAACACAAGCCTCCACCCATTTAGAGACATAATCAACGGGTGTAAAACTACCAAACAAATATGATATTATGGAATTGACCCTAAAAAAGTTGTTTTTGAAAAGCTTTAGAATAGCAAGTTGCATAAGATGGTATTGACCCGAGAAGTTTCCTGAGATGTCTAATTTATTCAAGGAATCTCCGATTGAATTTGGCAGTTCTCCAAAAAAAACTTGTGCTAGTCTCAATTCCCAAAGAACAATATCCAAATCCAACTACAAACTTAAGAAGAATACCACAACTACTGCTAGGGGATGGGAAGATGTATAGTCTTCTTATGTATGGTAGGGTTCCACGGCACAATAGAGCGATGTAGAGTCTTATGTATGATAGGGTTCCACAACACAATAGGGCAATGGCCTGAGAAATCAGTATATAAACAGTATAATACCCAAAACGAACCCACAATCTTGAGGACTACTCCCAATCATGTCCTATAACGATCTTGAATGCAGAGAGAAATTTGTACTCTCAATTGCATCAATAAACACTGAAATCAGTAGGAGAAGTACAAAACTAGTTTAATTGCTCTGACTGATTCACTTTTCGATCTGCTCTTAATACTCGTGGTTTTGAATTAGAGGGGCTGTTTTGAACTGAAATTTTACGGCTATTTTTCGTTCTATAGTGCTCATTTAGGTTAATTACATGGACCTCTCCTAAAGTTTTAAAATGTTCACAAACCTCCCCTAAAAATGAACATCTTACATTTCAATCAACACGAGTAAATGACGATTTTACAGATATCATATACGGAATAAATTGAAATTTTTATAGTACCCTTCATTCATCTCCTTTCTCTCACTTTCTCTCTATATTATATTCACTTATCTGCAAAATCTTCGATCAGCTACATCCTAAATTCATAATTTCCATCATCGCAAACCTATATGCAAAATCTTCACCTACATCTCTATATCAATCTATACAAATATTAATACATAATTTTCTCAAAATTATTCAAGATAGGTATGCCTAAATCTTCAACATATTCCTTGATTTTGTCTGTCATACCTCCAAACCCTTATGCCAAGAAACTGGCTAATATTGTTCCTTCCCTTGTTTCTACTTCGTATAATTGCAATTTGAAAAATAAATAAATAAATAAAACCCACAAAATAATTTATCAAATTAGCTGGTACCAAATTGGAGATTAAGCATCAAATTGTAATTCTTATGCCGTTTCAATATAATCTGGTCGAAACCCATAAGTCAGACGATATAGTTTAAAAGGAAAACTCATTAGCAACACCATTAAAATGAAACCCACATGGTATCTTTTTTTGTATATAACATATGTGGCGCATGAGCGCGCACACGCATATCATAAAAGAAATATCATAACAATATCACTCACTCACTGATTATCATAAGAGAAAAATATCACTCACTGCCAGTAATCATGATCAATAGTGAGTAACCTAGTTATTGCAAGAGTACCCAATCCCAAACAATAGTAGCGTTGATTAATCTGCCTAAGAACCCATTAAAATCTTTAGACTCAACTAATAATGGGTATTTCAGTCATTTGTTATAGTAGTTTGAGGGCATTTTAGTAAATTAGACAAATCAATTAGGGCATTTGACAGTCCGTCACTAGGAAGGAAGGTCCATGTAAGTTAGTTTCATTTTTAGGGAGGTACGAGTAATTTCTCAAACCATATTGGAGGTCTCTGTAATTATGACAAACTATATGAGAGGTCTGTGTAATTAACCCTTCCTCATTCAATATTACATTGTTTCGGTTGATTCGATTTTTCATTATTTTTAATAGGATTAATTACACGAGCTCCCTTATCGTTTTCTATAATTACAGGACCCTCTCCTATGATTTGAGAAATTACATGATCTCTTTAAAAATGAAACATTCCTACATAGACTTCCATTCTTAACTGTCAAGGAGAGTCAAAGGATGAAATTGGCTGATGTCATGTCCTGAATAAATTAAAATTCTCGTATTGCCCTTGGTTGAAGTATGCTTATAAATATATATTTACTTAAATATACAATTAAGTCAAAGAAGTGAAAGTGATGAAATACTTCTCATAACACCTTCAATAAGTAGTCGGTGTATATGTGTAATTCTAGTCAAAGTAGTCTTCCATTAGTTGTTGGTGGCTTTTCTCTCATGATGAATGTACTACCTCGGTTGAAAGACATGTTCTACTATTCGGTTCTTATAAGAAAGGTTTGGAAAACTCGGCATGTTTGGTCCACTAATTTCCATTTTCAAGAACTTCCCGAAAACTTTTGAATCTTTGAGACTGATTTTTCTTTTTCTTTTATTATATTTAAATTTTATTTTTTTTCCTTGAGAAATATCTCGCATTTATTATTATTATTATTTGACTTCTACAAGTAAAAGGAGAGGCTTAAAAAGATAGGTCATTATCTATTACTACATACTTCTATTTCCCATTTAATTTCCAATTTTATCTAATATGTACTATGCCCCGATTCTATTATATTCTTAGGGATTAGTGAAAAGAAATTTTTTTCTTGATGGATCTGAGTATTGTCCATGCTGGAATTTAGGTAATTTGTAAAAGAAAAAAGGTTAAAAAAAAAAAAAAAATACCCTATAAATTTTGCAATACCTACTTTCTGTAAGGAAAATGATTATAAACACCCCATTTTGCCCGTTCATGGAGTTGGTTGCCATTTTTTTTTTGTTAATATATCCTTTTAAACAATGCTAAGTTTGGAAGAATAAAGAAAGTCGGAAAATTGGACATCTCTATTGGGTTCGGAACAGACTCGAAGTCAGTTCCATAGCCATGACTTTCAGCACTCAAATCAAGAAAGGGGCGAAATCATAATTTCACATATTTAATCATATTCAAGTTTGGCCACAACAAATAAAGTTTTTGGGGGCAATTGAGAGAGACTCAGATGAGAGAATTGCTTGCAGAATGCGAACAACTTTAGAGAAAGGTGGTGAAAGATTATGCTATGCAGGAAGGGAGAATGAGAAAAGCATGTTCATTTCTGAACTGCTCTTTCTTCTCAGATAATTATCAAAAATAAAGCGGGGATCAAGTACTGAATTATTAACCGAGTTCATCCCAATCCGAGTTCATACGCTTCATACTGGTACTGTATCAAGGTTTCTAACTCGGCATAATAATGTCTGGATTGGGATAATACAAGTCACAGATTCAAAATGTAGTCGCAGCAACGAAATTATCAAGTACATCACTTTACATCCATGAGAAGAATAAGAAAGTTAAAAGAAGAATAGAGATATAATACATGAGAAAGAATGTCTCTTCTACTAACCTTAATTAACAGCAGCAGTAGCAACAAGAATGTGAAGGAAAAAAGACACAATTAACAAACAAAACAATATTCATTACCTCCACTGATATCTAACTCTGTAATAGTCCTATTTCTACTTGTCAACACCCTCCACCACATAGCTTTTACTCAAAAAGAACAAAAGAACATATCTAAAAAGAAACACTTGTATATTAAGGGTCAACTAGCTCACAAAAAAATGGGGATTTTAGTACAGGAAAAAGAATATATCTAAAAAAGAGAGGCAAAGCTCTCTTTTTATTCAAGGAATACACACTGAATGTGTGTATCTCTCAAATGTTATGCAATCTGCCATAAGGATGGAATTGAACCGGTTAAGAATATCATGGGAATGATAATTGCTATGTAATGAGAAACGTCTTAAATTGATCTTGGTACAAGAGCATAACTAAAGAGGAAACCACGCTACCGCTGATGGGGGGTTTTCTCTGTTTAAGTTGCAGCCCAATCCTTGCGGATATCGAATGTGTAGTTGATCTCCAAGTAGCATTTGTTATCATCATCTAGAAACTGAAAATAAAGAAAAATGAAAATCAGAAGACAATGTGAGCTACCCAAAGGAATGTATTTGAGCATAATTTGGTTTGCATTTTACGTGGTTCCACTGATCAGGCTTTAGTTTTCTTTGTATATAATTCACATCGGAAGCCTTAAATGACATACAGCTAGCAAAAGAAAGTCTATAACAAAAACTAAGTATTCAACATGGGCCATAACCCTTACAGTGGTTGGTCAAACAACACTACATTTGCTTTAAGAATAGTTGGGCCATGAGCTCAAGATAAAATGATTACACAGGAAGGTAGGTGACTCAATTTGACAAGTCTTCCACATCAAAAATTTTGCATGAGTGAGATTATAAAACAGAGTGACACATTCAGGAGTCATGAATTATAGGACGCCTGAATTATTCCAAAATTTATTAACTAAAAATCAGGAAAAAGAAGATTACGGAAGATGGTAGCTAATGGTAATAAACATAATAACTGGATAGAACTTCAAAATCAGAAATTTCTTAATGGTGATACCCTCATGTCTCAAACTCATTGATGGGAAAATGCATGTATTTCAAACAATTAGGGAACATTCTTAGAAATAGTGAGTTATCGGATGCCTGAATTAGTCCAAAGTTCATTAGTTAATCAGGACAAGAAAATCAAGAAAGAGGGTTGCTAATGGTGGCAAACACAACATCTTGATAGAACTTCATAGTCAAATTTCTCAATGGGGATACGCATGTGTGTCAAACTCATTGCACAATTTTAATGGGAAAATACATGTGAAAAATAAATAAATAAAATAAATAAAATAAAAATAAAAAATAAAAAACCACTTATAGAAAATATTGCAACCTCAATTATCAAGTCATAAAATTAAAATATTTTATTTGCCTTAACAAGTCTAAGGATTCCCCCATAAGGTGGGCCACCAGTTAAATATTATGAATTTGTGCAAAGTTACATCCATTGTAGAATAACAAATGCAAACTCCTTCCTTTAGAGAGCCCTTACTTTCAACTATTTTTTACTATATAACAATCACCCTAACTGTTGGGTCACATCTGAAAGACAGTTGATTTTATTGGCCGGGGTGATAGATCTATGTTGATTTTGCAATCAAATTCAAGGAACAGTGAATTCTAGTAATACCTCCGCGGTTAAAATTTCAGAATCAGATATCATTAATTATTATATTTCCTACATCATGTTTTACAAGTATAATTTCCTCAGTCATTAAACTAATATGTATGCATGAAACCTTTATTTAAAGAACCATTTAGTGTGAAAGATGCATTATGTGGCTGTTTTTTACCATTTCCTCACAGTTAGAAAGATATTGAATGGACTTCATTCAAGTCTCATGGTAAGCAGCTCCATAAAGTTGCTTTGAAATACAACCTCATATAACATGAGAACTGCATTCCTGGCATATGAATTTAGTGGAGTGGTAGAAATATATATATATATATGTAATGTTGCTTAATGATTGCATGTCGAATTGGACTTGCCTTTGATTTTGCAGAATATGAACCTCTGGCAAAAAAGCCGGAGGGAGTGGTCTCCTCAGGCATCTCATGTGTGTATGGCTCTTGCTGAGGACTAAAGGTTCCAATCATCTCTTTTGTGCTGTCCACTGAATTAAGACTGAGCATGAGGTGAAAATTCAAATGTTTGAAAATTTTAAATTTTTAGCATGAGTTACAACACAAGTAGCTTACCCTTGACACCAGTTTTCCAAACAGTGTTGGTGTACTTAAGGCCAGAGACAATGTTATTGCTGACTTGGAAAGAGAATCTCAAGCTGTAACGACAACCCTCTTTCAAAGTAAACCACAAACCTTTGGGTTTTCCATTTTCCGGAATAGGAAGTACAATATCAGATCTATCGGGAGAGAGGATTGAAAGGCTGATGATCTTTACTTCCGGTTCCAGTGTTTCTGCATTAAAAGAAACAACAAAAGCAATGTCATGGTCTGAAAATTCCTTTACAGGATAAATATGAAATAATAGTTGAGCTAGTTTGATTCACGCCATAAGATGGTGATATACATTGTGAAGACAGGTAAGCATTCAAGGGGATTTAAACTGCAATTTTAACAAAGACACTGCTCAAAACAGTATAAATGTATTCCAGATGAAATCGGTCCTTCATATAAATAAACAATAAGGAAACCAACAATCTAGGTAAAAAAGAAAAGCTATCTATCAATATGATTACAAAATCCTCTATCTGATAGAACTTCAAGGTGATGGCAACACTTCTAGTTTACAAGTTTCTTGTTAATTTTTACAAAAATTGTTGAAAACAACAGCTGTCAAATTCCCAAGGAAAGCTATTTGTCAATATATTTGACGGACAACTGAGCAATTATGACTTACTACCACTAATGAAACATTGTAATATTGCAAGCTAAACACTCTGAAAGTAAGAAAATACTACTGATACTACCAGAGCCTTAGACTAGTTGATGTTCAGGAAAGTAAAGAAATAAAAACCCCTACCAACGTTGTGACAACATGATTTGGTAGATAATTAATATTTCTAAACTTCACCAAAATGTTGGAGAGTTGTATCTCTTTCTGGGATGCCATTTTTCAGGAGAAACCCGGAATATTATTTCTGATATGATCCATATTCTTCGATAGCAAACATTTCTAACAAACAATTTTCACCCAATTATGTTCCACATTGACAAAAACCAAGTAAACTTGAGACTAAAAGTACAAATCACAGAGGGGAAAACAAATGAATCAACACATTCCCAAACACTAATGGTATCTTCTGATGATATGTTAATATAGTACTCAAGATGATTTTGACCCTCTATGAAAACATACATTTGACCAATTACACAAGAAAGAGGAACAAATAAACAAATAACAAAATTTGTTTGCTTCCTTCCAAATGAAAGAAACAAAAAAGTTTTGGCAGTGAATCAAACTAGCTAAAATAACAAAGTGTAGCAACAAAGTCGAAATTTTGGCAGAAGCAGAGTATAATTCATAGCCGCCTAAACAAATGTACCATATCCTCTGACTTTTCCAATTTGGTCACTAACATTAAGCCAATTCAAAACAAAAAATTAAAGTAACTAGGAGGAGATTGAAGCACGATCATCAAAACTCAAATCTTGGTATTCATAAGCATAAAGATCTGAATTAAGTGGTAATAATCACAACCTCCAACATTGCTAATATCCACACTCCCAAGAAGTTGTTCCTTCCACCTCCTCAAGCTCTCATCATCCTGAAATCTCACAAGTCAATCAAAATGAAAAGAAATTACATTATATGCATGTGTGTGTGTGTGTGTGTGTGTGTGTGTGTGTGTGTGAATTTGAGGAGAAACAGACCTTGTCCTTCTCGAGCTGTTCTTTGAGGGTGTACTGAGGACCCAATTCAATTTTATTACCTTCCTCATCTTCTTCCTCGTCTTCAGTAGCATACATTGAAGCATCACTCATGTTTCTCTTCACATTCCCTTGTTTTTCATCACCAACCTCTTGAACTCCACTTTTCTCTGCACCCTCCTTGCTTTCATCAAACCCTCCCATGTTCTTGGAACTGGAAACAGCTCCAACGTCCAAAGACATCAAATCATCAAACAGTAGATAGACCGCTAGAAGAGAACCAGAAAATTTTCAAAGACCCACCACTAAAAACGACACCAGTACACAAAAGCAAAAGAAACCCACGATTCAGGAATCAATAAAAGAATCAGAAATTGTTTTTGAAAGATAAACAATTGCGTGAGTGAAGGAATCCAAGCAAAGGCAACAATTGTCTGCGTCCAAGAAACAGCAACAGATATTAATCCAGAGGAACACGAAGAAGACTCAAGAAACAAGATGCCCACCAACAAGAGAGACAAGAGCGACTCTGGGTTTGTCTTTTAGCCTTTTCTGCGGTGGGTTGTTGTTGAATGAATGTCTCTATCTGCCAGATGGATGAGAGAGAGAGAGAGAGAGAGCGTTGGGTAGTTTAGTGGGAAAAGGTCGTGTGGTGATCCGAAATATGAGAGAGAGAGAGAGAGAGAGAGAACGTGAAGGTCACTAATGGCACTCAAACCAAAGAAGAAAGATCACGAGTAGATTGAGGAGGAGTTTGGGTGCCCCCTCACTTATTTATATTGCGTTTGGATCCAGGAGTTGGAAGGGACGGAAAGGAAAAGAAAATATTTTCTCATGTTTATTTAAAATATGAGAAAATTACAGTCAAGACCAAGGCCACGCAGAGGAATTGTATAATGACACAAATCTTTTGGTCAATAATAAATTATCATTATTTCCTGTTATTAAAAAAATGGAGAAACTTCATTGGGTACGAATATTACATAGTAATTACCTTGTGATGTTAAAAAAAATTCTTCTAATTAAATTGGCTCTAGCCTGATTATACGTTTTTCCTTTAACAGTTATTGATTTTTAAATTTAAAAAGTATAATTAAAGAAAAAAAGAAGAAGGGAGAGGGCAAATTTAGTATTTTGTAATTTTGAATCAACATGGGAGACTATATACCTCAAGGCTTGTTTGGTTATATGAAAATAGCATGTTTGGTTATATGAAAATAGCAAGAAAAGAGAAGAATTGAAAATTTTCCGGACATTTTAGAAAGTTGATTGGCAAGGAAAGGAAAATATTGAAGGAAAGTTACTTTCCATAAGTTTAACCACTGAAATTTTTCATAAAATTTTCTTCCAAAAAATACATACATATATATATATATATATATATATATATATTAATTTAATGAGAAAATATTATGAACTTACAATATTCCCCTTTCCTTTTATCGCAAGTTTTATGCTATTCATACCATAAATGGTAATTTTTTTATAATTTTCTTGCAAAATTTTCATGGTAACCAAATTGTGGTTGAACACCTAAGGTCTGCTTAGTTTGTAACTATAAAATAGATTCTTTTACAAAAAAAACCTTGTTCAGTTTTCTAAAAATTCAGTTATATATATATATATATATATTCTAATTGGTACCTACACATATACCTCCACTGATGATCGAACCGTGACCACCTTTTGGGAAGTAATAGTATGATAACGTTAGGCCATTGACTCGTTAATAATTATAAAAATAATGAATTTTTTAGAACTGTTTTCAGAATTACAAACTAAATAATTCATTAATTTTCCTTCATTTCATTTCACTCTTTTTTTTTTTTTTTTTTTTTTTTTTTTTTTTTTTTTTTTACTTTCACTTTTCCAACACTAGTTTCAGTCTAACAAAATGGACCTACATCCAAAAGGAGTGAAGTGAGTCTAATTTATAGTAACTTTTTTTTAAACAAAAAAAAAAAAATTATAATAATAAAGAGATTAATTTATCCCAAGTTATTTTATGTCATTGATTATAAATGGACTTGAATCCTCTAAGTTAAATATTCTCTAAATTATCTAAGTTGAATTCGCTATCAATTGACACATAACATTTAAAATCTATATATTATTGGTGTTAAATCTCGTTATCTGTTTCTCTTTTAACCTAAACTACGTTCTCTCTCATCTTTTCTATATATACAACTTTTGTTGTTTATATATATATATATATATATATATATATATATATATATATATATTCTTTTCCAATCATTATTACTACCCAGTAAAAGTTGCATGTCATGACATTCCCCCAATCGTGAGAATGAGCAAAAGTAGAGAGAGATAATCTTTTTTCGGAAAAGATGAGGGAGAAATAATGACGTTAAACTTCGTTAGAATATGGTGAATTTTACTTAATTCAAAAAATTTTGATAATTTTTTTTTTTATATCTCAAAACGGTGAAATTTTCAAACTTTCTTTAAATTAGTTGATGCGATTTAACACTAGTAGGTAGATATATTTTAAATGTGAAGTGTCATTCTATAACAAATTCAATTTATGATAACTTACAAGATATTTAACTTAGAGAACGCAACTCCCATTATTAAAATGTATAAATTTTATTTAATTTTTTTTTTTTTTTATACGCGTCCAGTAATAATTAGCGGGGACCCATGATGTGGAACCACTTAAAAATTTATCAATATAAACCACCACTTTCTTCCCTTTCCATCCTTATCCAAATCACTTTAAGGAAAGGAAAGGTCGTTGGCGCAGTCATTATCCTAGATGGTCCATCGCTTTAATGTGCATTAGATGGCCAGTTGGTTCGATAGTTTGTTAAGTTAATGTATATGGAATCTTTTAAAAGCTTTTTTGTAAGGTTGCACCAATTAAGTTTGTGATGTTCTTTTTTTTTTTTTTTTTTTTTTTTTGTCACATGGTCCTCCTTTAATGTCATTTCTCATAATTTATTGTGTAGTTGGTTTATACCAACCAAGTTAAGCTTGTTATGGCTTATGGCATTAGCATATAAACGCAAGAAAATATAAGATATATACTCAAAAAAAGTTTATATTTTATTCAATGAACGAGCTAAGCTTGAGTTCAGACTATAAATAACGTTATATAATGCAACCCAATTAGCTGAAGTTGTGGTCCAAATCCATGAGTGCCCCATTGCCTAAAGGGCATGGTCTATTTTAGGCTATTCCCTTAATGCAAACCTAAAATTGGCTGTTTCATGGGTGAACCAAGGTGGCTGAAGCTCGATAGTCTAAGGTCCCAATCAATAAAAGTTCTCAAAACACTATTTTTTTTGGTGTAAAATATACGTATGTGTAAATATTTTTTATCTCCAGCAATCTGTTAAAATATACTGTCACGTTACCAATGTGTAAAATTATTGTGTATTTTTTACACTCTTTTTACATAACCACATCAGCATATTTTTTTCCTCTTCCCTCTTTTTTTATCATTCCATTAACTAATCAACCCTATATTAAGTAAGTTTATAAAAATTATGTGAGGTTCGTGACACTTGTTGGTTGTTATTATTTACACAAATATATATATATATATATATATACACAATAGTTGGAGATGTTCTTAGGCGGTCGTCTAAGTCCCCAACCAATAGAAACCCCAAAAAAATTTATTCTCTTGTGTATTTTTACTTCCTTAAAAATTTTATTTTCTTCTCAACCCAAAATTTTATTTACTTTCTTATATTATTATACCTCCAAATTTTTATTTTTCCTTAAATTATTATACCTCCAAAATTTTATTTACTTTTATTCCCTTATTAAACCTCAACCAACGGCAGATGGCCCAAAAATTTTATTTTCTTATTTTTATTTCCTTATTAAACCTAAACCAATAGCATAGTAGGCCTGAAGAATTAACTCATAATTTCTATCCTTATTTAATTATTTTTTTCCTCCTCGCCTCCGGTTCTTTACACCCACTCTATTAATTAGTGAGTATATATCTATTGGACTGATTGTATATATACGGAGTTAAAAAAAAAAATACAAAACCTGCATACAATAATTACTATGTAAGAAAAAAAAAAAAAAATCAATTACTAACTTTACATTTCAAAAAGCAAGAAAAGTGATTATTAAACAAACATAATTAATTATTATTTAAAATTAATATATCAAATATTAAAAGCTGCATACAATAATTACTATGTAAGAAAAAAAAGAAAAATCAATTACTAACTTTACATTTCAAAAAGCAAGAAAAGTGATTATTAAACAAACATAATTAATTATTATTTAAAATTAATATATCAAATATTAAAAGCCATTTTTATATTGTTCGCAAAAGGTCTTAAATTATATTGAGCCGTCTTGTATGGATCATCAATTTTCAAGAAATACAAAGGTGCCAGAGCAAATGATTTCAATTTTCATATTTGAATCTTGTATGTGACGTCTCAGAAAGAGGTTTAATGACACTTATATATATATATATATATATATATATATATATATGAATGTCTCTCAGCTGTGTAACCCTGTTTTGAAAAAAATTATGAGTAAGCAGTGACATTACATACATGGCCAATATACATCCATGGCAGTTAATGTCATGCTATTCTTAAGGACAATTCCATTAGGTACTCAAATTAGTTTTGCAAAAGTATATAAATAAAAGGGGAAAGTGCAGAAAACATCCTTAAAGTATACTTTTTGTAGTATTTTTATCCCCTAATTGAAAAGGTGTGCAATAAACACCCCTAATTTTTTGAAATTATGCAAAACTACCCCTCTGTGCAGTAAACACTCCTAAATTGTTACTGTAATATCAATTTTGCCCTTTTAATCTTCCGAAAATACCCATCCTTCTCTCTTTACTCTCTGCCGCCGGTTCCTCCTACCACCATCTTCTTCTCACACCATAATTCACCCCTCAACTCCACCCATCAATCTCATCCATTCATATATATATATATACACACACACACACACACACACACACACACACACACATATATATCTATATATATCCAAGGCAGCTGCGAATTAGAGAACCTTCGCCAACAAGTCCGGTGACAACAACCCGGTCCGTGTTGGAGGACCCACAAACCCTCTTCTCACTGACGGTGGTCTATCCACCGTCATATCGAAGCCCAATGGTGTCTTTGGCATCGATACCAACTCAGCCACCGTCATAATCTCTGAGGAAGAAGACGACTGCCGCGGCGTGAAGAGCACGCGATTTGCAGTAACCGGCGCGTGTTGAAGGGCATGAAATTATGTCGTCGCCGCCACTGCCGCAGATCGATTTATTGAGGATGATTTGGTAAACCCATGGCCGCCACCTGCAAATCAAGATCGGTGGCCGTGTTGTGCGTTTTTGGCTTTCAATTTGGGGTTTGGATTTGGTGGTCGTCGTTCAAGATCGCATTGAAGATACCCAATTCGCACGTGACGACAAGCCGAAGAAGATGTCGGCGATGACGCAGAGCCCCGGAGAACAGATTCGACGGCTACTACACAGCCGACGGCGATGACGCAGATTCGACGGCGTTGAAGTCCGGCGTTTGGTGCTCGCATCGGCAACTCATAGCTCTTGCAAAGAACTTAAAATCGAACAAGCTCTCGAGTCTCGCCGATGTTCATGGTCGCCGGAGTTGCTTCACCGATTGGGTCTTGTATATATTGAAGCTCACCACCCATGGAAGGCTTTGTTATTTTACAATTTAGCTTCACCCCGAGTCCAACTCGGACGAGAATTCCAAATTAGCTTTGACCC